TCACTCTTGAGCACCAAATCGATCTCGGATTGCACCACATTGATAGGATAAGCAACCGTTACATCATAAATACAACCTATATAGTTACCTGGAAACTTTTTTCAGTTCTTCAATATCTTTGATGTTTAATATTGTGGCTGATGATGGCGTTTTAAGGCCAAAACGTGCTACGGTACTTTCGTACTTGTTGTGCATTATTTCGGTTAATTACCACTGGTTACCTTGTTATCATCACTTTATTATTTCATTATTATTATCATAATTATTATTATTACTATTATCCGAACATTTTTTTGAGTTTTTGATTGCATTTGAGAGAGAAGATCCCTTCAAAGCAGTTCAATCAAACGAAGACTCTAACGTTGTCGCATTCTGTTGATCAGATGTGTAAAGCCAGCCACTCGAGGATATATAACATAATCCAGTTGCTTCAAGCCTTTCTTTTTCGCATATTCATCACTTTTACGTGTTGTCCAAGCACTCTTGTCAGTACCTTCAGGGAATAAAAGAATCTGTAAGGAGGGTGTCGCTTATTGAAGATGTTTTACAGTGAATTGTGCATATTCATTTGAATTCACTTCAATTCAGTTGTGATAACTCTCGAATGAACATTTAGCAAACAGCTCACTTGATAATTGCGTCTCATATCAATGTAATAGTCAATCGCATCAGTCAATCGCCTTCTATCCTCATCCACTTGCCGTCGCATGAATATAAAATGAGTCGCGGCCATTCCAAATCCTGCATTCATCAACACACTATCAAAAATCTCGACACCAGATTATCAAAACCGAAACAGTCACAAATCAAATGTGAATACACAAAACCTGCTCCAGGAATTTTTCTTAGCTCTTCTTTCAACGCTATTTTACTGGTACTAATCAGCCACGGATTAATCTTGTAGAGTGCCACCCAAAAGTACATCCAATCGATTCGTGTTCGATGGTTCATGATCACTATGGCTGGTTTATGCATATCTATTGAATCACCAGTCACTTTGAATTTCACACCAAATAAGTGCTCCAATAATGTCTGCAAATATGATTTTTCACATATGTTCTTCAAGAATTTATTCTTTGACTGCAATTCGTTCATCTACATCACATGGAAGTATTACTTAAAAAATGTCTTCTGTGATGTTAACGATGCCTAATAATGAAGNTATGTTAACAATATACGGAATTAGATGTACAAGATTGGATATATAAGCGGATATATCGGATACACCAAATCGGATCAGATGAAGCGGATATGCCTGATGTTAATGATTCGATCGGTTGCCTAATAAATGAAGCGGGTCTGAAATGAACAGAAACCTACCACGGGAACGATCATCCAAAAGCTGACGGCCCGATCTAGCACGGCTCTCCATGTCTGTGCTGTACCGAACAACAACAGCGGCAACAACAGCGTGATTATATAAGCACCGAATAATGAGGTGCTCAAAACTATCAGACCGAATAAAGGACCAATTAAAGGCCGTATCAAGCGATTGATGAGAAACATCTAAGTGCCTTCCGAAACGCTACCTAACTCAAATCTTTTTCCTGATTCAGAGGTGTGTTTAGAGAGGCGAGCAATTGAGTTAGTGCACAAATACATTGTGTGTTGTGGTTGATCACTGTCACAATCGATGAACTATCGCGCAACAACATCATGCACTAAAACGACACATGCATGTGCACTAATGACCCGAATTATCGATTTGTTGTCATGAAGTTTACTTATCCGATTGTTGTGTATCGCTATTCTGAGATAGATGAGCATCTAAATCGTGTTCGGTATGCATGAGATGCCTGCCTGTCATGTGATCAGAGAGGTGTTGCTTGCTCATTATTCAACAATAAGTGCAATCTTGTCATTCTGATTCATCACCATTCAGCACTCACTGGTGCGTTGTTTTGATAAAATTGAACATATTGTGTCACATCGATTGAAGGTTTCTTCGATAAATTCATTTCATTTTAACTTAAAATAAAACTCCTTCTAGCCAGTGGATATGAGATGCTAGCGGGATGTTGGCTGAATAAGATATAATCAGCAGAACGAACTAGATTTCACAACTGAAAGGATTTCGATAATTCGTAAACAGTAGACAGTCGTTACCACCATGAATATATTATGTGCACTCGCAGCTGACTGTATCCTTGAACTGCGAGATGCTGGAGACGGTTATTAGGTTACTGTAAGTCATGAGCCATTCTAAACGTTTTGACATGTATTTATTAGGTTGGTGGGTTTGCTTCTGTGCTTTGCTAAAGAACATTTTAAAAATATCTCGAGTGATATGAATGAAGTGTGAATAATAACAATAATAAAACACCATTGTTTCTGGCTTCAGCTCTGCTTAAACACCTCATTATATTTCGATACCATTGCATAAAGAGGATTGTTGTGTTAAGAGAAAAATTTCTTATGGTGCTTCGGGATTGCGGTTGCAATTCACCAGTAGTCTGTTATGTGGATTGCCGTAGAATAAGTCATAAACAAGACGTGTGATTTCATTTTAAAATATCTCACCTTCCAAAAATTTTTGTTGATATTTTTTGATAGCTCAAAAGGTCTGATAAGATAGATCTCCTTCGAAAAGCTGTGGCAAATATTTTCTATGGTGCTCAAGGATTTTCTGTCAGATTTTCTAGGCAAATCCTCTTGTTATATACAAGAATTAACTGACGTCTGTACTAAATTTGAATGGCATTAAATTTAATTGTGTATTTTTTGGCTTTCGACGGATTGACATGAATGAATGAAGTTCAGCTTGATGCATCCCATCCCTTGATGATGCATCTTTATTATGTCTCTCAAAAAACAGATATGTCATGAAGACATTCAAATCACATGAACCATTATCTATGCATTGGCGATCTCTCAGCACTATATCACTCGTTGTGAACTTTGCATTCGTTACAACTTACCATACTTTCTCACTTCGCCTTCAAATAACGCCAATAAGAAATTAATGTGAATGTTAATTTTAGAAGTGGAAGTGCAAACAATATCACCGAAAGGGTTGTAAGAATTGTTGTGTAATGTGAGGAGTAATTTACGATTTTGCTTGTGTGTTGTACGTGAAAAGAATTTGAAGTGGATGCTTTCTACTATTGTTTTAACGTCGTGTAATACCACTGGAGATACTGCAACAATTTTAAGAATTTGTTTGGTTCAGATGTCGTCAGCAGTCAATGAGGGAAATGCTAAATGTGAGCAAAATGATGACCAGAATCTCGCAGATCAGTTGAACAAGGACGAGGAGGCACTCTACGAGAAGGTCAATCGGCAGACTGAAGAAATCGAGAATGAGGTTCATTTCATTTGTCATTTCACTATCATTTTTTTGATTTCCATTGATATTTCGTCAGAATCACCTTGTTGTATTGACGTTAAACTCTACCACTGAACGTTAATCGTTTAAAAAATTCATAATTCGATGCGATCAGCATCGCATATCAGCTCACCTAGACAATGAAATATTCAGATTAAACGAAACCAGCCGTTAATTGGCAAGAAGTTGCCCATATCAATTCTTGTCGAAACGTATGATGCAAACGAAAGTTCAGAATTCCATCAGAAAGCTAAGGTAAAATTTTTCTAAATTTCTAAACAGTTGCTTAAAACTATCGTTAGGTTGTAACCTTGATCCTCGTAGTCACGGTCTTGATTGTCGTTATTTTCACTGTTATTTTCTCCAAAAAAAATCCACAAATCTGTCCTGTTTTTTGCATTTTACACTCACAATTTCTTGAAACGTTTGAGGAATGACGTTGAGAAATACTGTAATAGAGGGTTTCAATTGTATGGTTATGTATCAATCAATTTTGCAGAGATCTTGATATCATTGTATCTTTAGGAGTTGGCCGACTCATATAAGAGTTTACGTCGTATTCGAGGTGACGGAAATTGCTTCTACCGGGCATTACTTTGCGCTGAGTTCGAGTCACTGTTTCGTGATCAAAATGAATTGAAAAGGTGATGATGCTTCAATGATTTATCTCAGCGCTTTTCTACTGCCCATCCACAGTATTGCCCAGTGTCTTCCAGTTGTCAAACCGTATGAAAATTTTCTGTTTGAATGAAATGTCTAATTGTAAACAAATTTGATTGGAACGTTGCAGGTTTACAGAAGTCTGTAAGGGTTGGCGAAACCGTTTGCTGAAGCTTGGTTTCCCTGAATTCACAACAGGTGATTTCTGTGATTGGGTGAGTTTGTGCTCTTATTTTCTCAATTGCTGAGTATTTCAAAGCATTTTATTAGCCGAGCTGAACCGTCTCCCAGTGTATTCCACTAGGTGACAATCGATTAGGTTGTGACGGTATCTAAGTTTTCCTTTTCTACTGATTGTGAGTCGGAGTGGTATTGTTGGTTGAACTAATCTAATCGTTTGCTGTGATGAGTTTTAATTTGATCAGTTCGATGAACTCTTGGATGAAATCGCAACTGGAAAACGAACCGAACAAAAAACACTTGGCGCATTGAATGATGACGGTCCATCAAATTATTACGTTACTTTTCTCAGGTTCATTTCTTTCTGAGTTTTTCATGTAAATTTTTGAACTGATAACCGAACTGTGTGTAAAGAGTGATTGTAACGGGTGCTTTGAGTTTAAGGTTGATAACATCGGGATATCTGCGTGAGAATGCGCCGCTGTATGAAGGATTCGTTGAAGGTGGTCGAAGTATGGAACAGTTTTGTCGTGATGAAATTGAGCCGATGTGGAGGGACTGTGATCATTTGGCCATTATTGCACTCACAAATGCGATCAGTTAGTTTTGTTTGTTTGCGGTTGATTGATAAACGTTATCGACGGATTTTGCTTAAATTTCGATGCGAATTTTTTCGGGAGAGCATTAGAGTTGTGAAGAAATTATGATNAGCCAATGATTACTTTATGATTTCATAGGCGCTGAATTGCGTACTGCAATTTTTGTAGATGTTAATGAGTTTAGGTTGTTTTGAAATTTTATTGAAAATGAATTGTTTAGAAGTATCGATACGTATCGAATATATGGATCGATCTTCGGCACCGAATGGCGGTCGACATTACGATTTTGTCGTCGATTCCAGTCCGCCTCGATTGTTTTTCTTGTATCGTCCAGGACATTATGATATTTTATATAAAAACTAAGACTGCTTCTCCAATGTCTTAGAGTTCAATTTATTCATTCATCCATCTCAGATCGTTTGCCTGTCCTGCATAAAGAAAACCGTGTTAATTATTTTCCGTCATGTTTTTGTGTCTTTCATTTGATTTGGGGACCTTTCTTATGTGTATTTCGTGATTAGTAATGTAGTGAGTGATGCATGCAGTGTTATTCTGTTGCATGTGCGCTTGATGTAATTTATTATTTCAACTTATTGTTGTCTGTTTCTTCATTTGCGTTTTTATTTTATGTTTTCGTCTTAGAATTACGTTCGATTTTTTGATCGTTTCTCACAGATATTATGAATAGTTTTGGTAATGCATGAGATTACAGTGCAATTGACATGCAAGAGAGAGGCATTGTGGTATTAGCATGTAGTGGTTGCCTCTTCGTAGCTGGCGAATCCGCCATTCGTGTGCATGATGATCGGATTTATGTTTGTGTTGTTATTTTGCCTATTGACGTCTTATTTTTGTTTTCGTTCGATTCAGATGCATGGAAGTGGGTATGAATCATTTGTATTGTATCATTTTCATTGTGTGTTGTTCACGAGATTGTTGCGCAATTCTGTTTGTTTATTTATTTATTTGTCGATAAGAAACTTTTGAATGTCGATAAAGTTGTCATTATCGTGACACAGTATCAATGATGAAGTGGTGACCGTGCTAACGTTTTCAAGAGAACATTAATGGAATAAGCATATGAATATTGAATCTGGTGAAGAAATAGCGGAGTAAATTAGGAAGACGGATCGTGAGCACTGAGTCTGAATTTGGTACACTTTAGATCCGTTTCAGCAGTTCCGGATAAATAGCTGAGTGTGTTTAAAGCGAATGAAAAATTCTTTTCGAAAAGTTGAAATTCTCCTCAGAAAATACACTTCATTTCGAATACTGTCCAGTAATATAAGCACACTTAAGTGTACAGGTAGTCATTTGAGTAGGAGTACTGTAGGACAACGTCACGGATGATGTACTGTAATACAGGCTTGTTAAGAACCGACGAGAGGCATTCTTTCGTCAAACAGTACAATCATGATATCCCAAACTGAGCTCTATTGGAAAACACTGGGAATTGCCATATTTCAAAGGCTAAAACTGATGTGATTACATAAAAGTGTCGTGGATATGGATGTGAGGTGTGCAAAAATACATTATGCTCATTTCGAGTTTGCGATGTTCTTTGGTTAATCTGATGTCATGTTCACAGTGATGTTGCAAAATGCGAAACATTTTGCTGTCGAATCCGAAGCTGTCGGATGGATGACATATATCTTTGGCCTGATCTTCATTACCATAGAAAGTCTTCACTTGATTATCGCATTCCAACCAGGTTTCATCACTGCTCACACGTTCTTGATGCTTAATCAGATTTTAAGAATTGATATCCTCATCAATTTACCTCAATTCTCTCATTTTCATGATTCCCAATTGAAAATTTCTCCTTAAGTTTAGCAATAGTAACGAGCTTGGTGGGCTGTTACATTGTTTATGCTAACGTTGGGTCCTACAATGACAAATTTCTCAACGTACTCATCTGAACGACTGAATGAACAATAGTGAAATGTTCGTATCGTTGAATATTTATTTATATTAGGTTAATTTCTGGCTTAGAATGAGATTTTCTTTTGTTGTTCCGTTTATTTCTTGGTGTGAATTATGAGATGGGGTCTAGAGAGATCATCTGAGGCACTAGAATCTTCTGAGGAGCATTTGCTGTTAAGTATTAAAAGATTATATGCTTCTGCATTGTGAACGAACTGACAGCTCTTCTTGGGTAGTATCATAAAATTATTTGTAGGAGAGGGAACATTTTCTATAACCCTTTCGATTTCGTACTGCATTTGGGACTGTCGGATATAGATTTTATTGCAATTGTTAACCGTTCAAAGCGTACGAATTGCTACAGATGCTTTTATTCGCCTGCACTACTTTTGTCCTTATCGATTTATTTCAAAATATCGTCTGTCTTTTCACGCCGAGTGCGAATAGCACATTTTTTCATGAAATCTTCAGCTGTATCCACATGGATTAATTCCATAAAGAGCAATTTGCCCAGTGTCTTAACCCAGTTTTCATGTATCAAAAAAAATTGATGTTGGTAGTTGAAAGTGTTACTGTGTGCTCATTTCGTGCTAATTTTACATTGATTTGTTGTGTTCGTTCTCTAGCTGTTCAACATTATTTCAGGGAATATCACTATCCAGAATGCCAAAGCAGATAACCGAAATTAAGGAGTTCTTGTTGACTGCACGGCGAAAGGATGCCAAGTCAGTAAAGATTAAGAAGAATTCAGATAATGTCAAGTTCAAGGTTCGATGCAGCAAATACCTTTACACCCTTGTTATCCAGGTATGATCTTTTTTGCCGTGCTCATTTCCTTCTGGCATCGTTCTTGTTTATTTTAGAGAAATTAGTGTAAAATTCTGAGTTAGTGGACGATTATGTTGATATGTTTGAATGTTACCTTGATCTGTCTGATACATTATGTTTGAAAGATGCCGATGAATGCAAGTTTTCAGGATAAAGAAAAGGCCGAGAAGCTGAAGCAATCGTTACCTCCAGGTCTGCAAGTCAAAGAACTGAAATAAGTGCAGTACACGTGATGAATAGAAGGAGAATTTCATACTGTGTTGCTTGACTTCATTGTTGTTATTGTTGTATTTCTTGATTGACGATGAAAATAAAATGACACTATTGTGTATTGCTCTTTTACAACTCACTTCATGCATGCAAACACTTCTGAATGTTTTTCGTGTTCGTTCGTTCGGTTATAACGCAAATAATTGTTTATTAAATCGCAACGATAGTGAAACACAGAATAAAATCGAGTGGACAACATGATTTTGACAGTCACTCGGTATTATTCATAGGAACAGAAATTTACTGCGAAATATCTACATTGGTGATCGAGGAGGCTGATTTATACGGAGTAATTTTATGTGAACGTTTAAAGAGTGAATAACAACAATCAGTTATTACAATACATCGAAATGCATCTCGTTAAAAAATGAGATCAGTAGAAATGTTCTCCACAAAAGTAATCAAAGGCAGTGTGGATGTGTCGGTTCAACTTGCATCCATGGACACTTGAGATTCAATTGTCCGCATGGGTTATGCCCAATTGCACAGTACCAGTCATGATAGAAGAACATGAACGCCGTTATACCCACCAACGATATGTAGAACATCAGCGAAATCAACTCCAATCGACGAATTACCGTTTGCCACTTACTGTAGAGATCGTCTTGTGGTAACAGTGAGACGATTTCCTCCCTGCAATTTTTGTTGTGAATATGAAGGGATATAAGTCGTCTAAAAGGATGTCTGAATTGGCTAGAGTTATATGATTTGCAATAAGTGAATTGGAAAGATTATTGAGCTGCATGGGCTGCGCTCATTTGAATACACTGTATCTGTTTTGATCAATGTGTGCATTACTTAAGCAATATCAGAGTCACCATCTTCAAAGTATCGCAATTCATAGGTTTACCCAATAACATTGTCGTTTCTTCACACCATCGGATTCTTCAAATTGTCTGGTTTCAGAAAAGTATATATGTTGTCGAACGATTTTGCCTACATTCAGAGAAATGTTTGATTTTCTGGACGTATCTCACTTGCTCGGCAACGCTCATTTCACTCAATACACTGTATCTCGAAAAAATGAACAGATTAATTTCGAACAGATATTTGAATTCAATGCAAATATTCAAACAAACGCAAACGATTGCGAGATACCGTATTCCTTGTACAGCACACTCAATTTTGGCCACGGATTTAGTGATATCTTCGAGGATTTGTGTGAAATATTGGTAGATCAACATATTGTCGTAGTGAGCGATACTCAATCGTTTTCGGATATTTTGTCGAGGTGACGGTGAGCTGATCTGCAACCGAGTTGTCGAATGTGAGAGAAAAAGTCACTTGATGGATATGGACCGTGCTTATCAGAAATACTAATTTGTAAGAAATACTAATTTCCTGACCCCCTTCATTACCCCGTTGTCACCTCCGAATTACCTGCACCGAATGCTAAACGAACAAGCATTTCAGAAGATATGGCAGTGACGGGAAACTGAGGTTGGAGAGAATATGGTGATTAGTGGCGTAAAAAGTTGCAGTCAAAGAGTCCTTCAGAGGGAATACTCACCGTTGAAAGAGGTTCATGACCAGAGTGTCTTTTCAGTGTTAAAGTTCTGAAAATATTCAACATCTTACTTCAAACGTTGTTAATTTTTCACCTTCAACGATTGATTATCAATGAAACGAGAATGTTTTTCTGATATTCATCTTACTGTTCTGAGCAAATCTCAACAAAACATAGATAGATACAACTGTTGTCTGGGGTTCCCAGCTTCAATATGTTACACTACCTTGCAAGTTTATTATTGGTGATATCAAAGGATAACCATCCGAGATACCAGGGTATCCGATGCTTCACTCGAACATCTCGTTCAAGGAACACAAACATCGATGTGGTCACCGTCGACAGTCCAATTATTGCCAGTAGAATAAAGTAGTATAAACCTGAAAAACATAATAAATTAATGCAGTTCATGAATAATCACACATGTTCGAGGTTGATGAGTAGTCTCTTGATGATATGAACAAAGCGGATTGCAGTGATAGACAAGAAGCAATGCTTGATTTTCAATTCTTGAAGAGATTGATCACGAGTTCGTTTCTAACACGAATCCAGTTTCATGGCAATCTTCCTGATGTGTGTCGTCTTTGGGACAGAGAAGAATCGAGTCAACCAAAAAGAACCATCGGATTATTGTACCGATTAGTGGTATTCCAGAAAATGATCCTCTGCCCCGTCGAGTGCTTGACATGCTGAACTTTGGCATATCCTCAACGATTGCCAGCAGTATAACACTCATACTCATCAGTGTCATTATTCCAAGTCGGAATTTTGCATCTCTGAAAGCAGAGGGCTGTTGAAATGCAATTGAAATGTGATTAGGTAATGACTTAGCGATCAACAACGCGTATTTCCGTGCTGTGCACTTGCACGGGGCACGGCTCAACAGTTTCTAACTGTTCAAGTTGGAGGTTTTGTGGACCAACCTGACTCGTCCGCTCGTACTTGGAGTGTGAAAACCAATGACGGATACGAGTGTGATAATTGTGCTTGGTATAACCAAATTAAAAACTGAAAGATAATTTGAGAGTGGGATTCGGAATAGCATCCTTATCAAAAGTGATTGAAACTCTTACTTTAACCTATAAAGTGAGATCAACTCGTTTATCAACATTTTTGGAATTTTTTTGTGAATATCATGAATTTAGAATATTTTGAATGTTTTTTTAAGAAGTTACACTCGGAAATGAGCTGTCAGCAAAATACATATATTTTGCACGCAATATGCATTCAGTTCGCTGAAGTGCGATTCATTAATATGCATCTCGCTTGAAAAGCGCTGTATGCATTAGTATGCATTCACTTCGCTGAAAAAAACTGCAAGCACATACAAATCATTGAGTTCATTGCAGAGCATTGTATATGCTTTAG